CCTCCCGCACTTCAGCAACTGCCTTCGTGATTAGATCGCGCCTTGCACGCCGATCAACCGTCTTCGATTCCCATGATCTGCAATCAAGATTAGAACGTGTGAGGCTCACTATGATCATGTCCTGGTAACGTAACTTTGGTTTCCCCACGTGCCGCTTCCCAATACTCAGCTGACCGTATATGAGTTGTTTCGGTATCCGAGTCCAGTCCATACGCCACACATGACCGAGCCACCTCAGTTGTCTCAGTAAAAATATGCAGTCCACTGCATACATCCCACTTCGGCGCAACACTCCCGTGTCTGCAACTCTGGCGCCACAACCGATGCGCAAAATCCGTCGCAGACACTGATGATGGAACCGCTCGAGATATCATCACACATCCCGACGGTACATCGTTCACGTTTCACTGCCGTATAGAAGGACGGACAGCACCATGGATTTGTACACCATCAGCTTCGTGACAATGCTAAGCTGATGGTTGTTCCACACTCGGCACTCGAGCTTCCCGAATGCCGCCGCTGCCTTCGAGACGCGGATACGCAGCTCACTGTGTAGCTCCTGATCTGTCGACATCACACTCCCAAGGTAGCTGAAGCGGGAGATGGTTTCCAATACTTTAGCACCAATGCTGATTCGCGGCAATATTGAAGATTGCACCTCCGGTGAAGGTTGAAAGAGACGGATAGTTTTGCTTGTGTTGATGATGAGCCCAAATTTTGCCGCTGTCGAAGCCAGAGCACTAGTCATGTGCTGCAACTTATCCGCGCTGTGTGAAAACAACGCACAGTCATCAGCAAACAGCAATGTACGGATAGTTGTCTCACAGACTAGAGTTCTCGCACCGAAACGACGGATGTGCAGCAACCCACCATCAATACGGTGCTCCACACAAACACTGTAAGCACAAGCGGCATCAAATGCACAGGACATCATTGCATGCAGATATATATTAAACAAGGCAGGAGCTAAGACACAGCCTTGCTTCACACCAGAGACAACTGCGAAGTCATCCGAGGTCTGTCCACTCAGCTGCACCCTCGTTCGCATACCACTGTGCAGACATGCAATTAAACTTACAAATTTACGCGGGCAACCAAACTTACCGAAAACCAGCCATCATGCCTCGCGGTTCACCGTATCAAATGCCTTGGTGAAATCAACAAAAAGCGAGTACAATGGCTGGTGTCGTTTTCTGCACTTCTCTTGCAACTGACGAGCCGCAAACACCATATCTATAGTGCTGCGACCCGAACGGAATCCACACTGCTCTTCCGTCACGTTAGGTTCCACAAGCTGACTGACGAGGCGGTTGAGCAGGATTCGGGCAATCACCTTGCCCACAAAACTCAGCAAGTTGATACCACGAATGTTCGTACAACATTGCTTGCCCCCTTTACCCTTGTACAATGGTAGCACAAGGGCATCCTTCAGCTCAGGAGGCACCTCCTCCTCAATCCATACACGTTGCACCAAGTGGTGCAGCGCAGTCACCAACGCGGGTCCACCGTGTTTCAATATTTCAGGCGGGCTCCAGTCGGCCCCGGCACACTTGCCGTTTCGCAGCTGAGCAAGTGCTCTCTGCGTCTCATCCACTGTCGGCGTGTCCGCCAGACTCGTCTTCACATCGTGCTGCTTCAGGTAGTTCAGTATAAGCCAGTCGATCTCTGAACGGTTGTTCAAGAGACAGTCAAAGTGTTTCGCCAGATCTGCATTATGTCTGCAGTCTGTGTGCAGGTAGCGCCTGAACTACCATCGATCAGCGGTTCCAATATCGGTCCATACACCGCCTTCAAGGAGTCAAAGAATTCCTTGTGTTGGCGGCGTTCGGCGTAGCATTCCATCTGCTTCGCCTTCTTCGCCCACCATGCATTTTTTATGCGACGGATCCCTCGCTTCGGTCGCCGTCGAAGTTAGCGAAACGGACTCTTCTTCCCTAAGTCCCTGGGATCTGCAACATGTGTAGCAAATTCTGCATTCTTTTTAGACATCAATGCGCCGATCGTCGCATTGTTGTCATCAAACCAATGAGGGCGTTCACAGTTTGCGCGCCCGATGGTCTCCTCGGCAGCAGCTGTCACCTGGTCGCGAATGTGGTGCCACAGGTTGCCCACTGAGGCTATGCCTTCCACATCACACAGGTTGCAGCCATCGCCTTCTCCAGCTCGGTACGTTTTGCCCCAATTCCGAGGGGGAGGATGTTATGTTCACGCTGATTTACGGCAGGAGTGCAATACATTGATTTACGAAAATATATGTGCAGTTTGGTCCGCACTAATTTGTGATCAGTGCCACACTCAGCTCCACGCAGTACACGTGTCATGCGCGCTTCACGCATATCACGCTGACGTACGATGAAATTGTTGAGCAGGTGAGCGTGACCACTCCGTGGGTGCGTCCAAGTTGCCATATCACTCGCACTCAATGCAAACCGAGTGTTCGTGATCGTCAGGCCGTGAGTTGCACACAGTGAGAGCAGCCTGTCTCTGTTCGCATTCGCTGAACCATGCCATGCGGACCGATAACATCTGTGCACACTAATGCCTCACGCCCAGCGCGCGCGTTGAAATCACCCAGCAGTAATAGTCGGTCGCTCCTCGGCACTAATCGTATCATGGAGGATGGCTGTGTAGAATTGATCACGCGTGTCATCAGGATAACACATGGTCGGACCGTTCGTGCTTTTAAAAGTGGCAAACTTACCTCTTCCGAGTCGTAGGCGAACAGTCATCAATCGCGCGCTGATGCCTGTCTGTCATCCATCAGCTGGCCATGGAGGTGATCGAATATTGAAAATCCGACCAAATGATCACGTGGTGCTTAGGGGGCGCTGCGAACCCAGTAGATTGTGTAGCCAGCACCTGCTTCATGCAACTTACCTAGCTCAGCGAGGCAGGTCTCACTGAGCGCCGCAATAACGATGTTTTAGCGCTCCAGTTCCATGGCGACGAGTGCAGTGCGTCGCTCGGGGCGCTCACTCGAGTTCCGGTCCAGTAGTGTGCGCACATTCCAGTAACCGATGCTGAGTGCTTTGCGCGCAGACATGCGATTGCATTGGCAGGTCGTTGTGCTTCGAAGGTTTGCTTGAGGGCTCCACCGGGCGCCTTTGGCCCAATAGCCTGACCCATTAGGCAGTGGCTGATTTGGAAGCTTGCTTGAGAGCCCCGGTCGGAGCCTTTGGCTCAATAACCTGACCCGCAAAGCGGTGGGGAGCAGATCCATCTCGAGAATGTTATTGCAGGGACAGATTGGGATCTACTTTACGGCCGTCACACGTAGCATTGGAGGTACTGGAACGATTTATATATGTTCTGCGACCGTAATAGGACACACTTGCGATCACAGCCAGACTCAGGTGGCTTTTTGCGGGTTTACACCAATTTGACGATGGGCTGCCTGGCTTGAGGCGGGCAGTAGCAAACCATTGAACACCCGGAGGTGTCCTCCCACCGTCAGAGACAATGCATGGCGCTCGTGCTCTACGCCAATCGAGCTGTGAGCTTATAATCCGTAGACCTGTTGTCTCCCATGGCTAGGTTTTACGAGAATAGTGCCATGGACCACTTCCTAACCTCCGAAGAGGATGGACTAGGATACTGGCAGGGCGGCCACACCTGATAGGAGAACGATTCAAGTGCTCAGCCAAAGCCTTCGCTTAAAGGTGCAGCCGGAAGACAACAAATGTATCACTTGGTCCGTTCACTGACTCATGCGGATTGGTTTCCTGGATCTTAGCAGGGAGAAGGGCGAAACACAACTCCCACCCAGCGGTCGCCACGAGGAGGCGCTTAGGACGTGGGCAAATGGCACAACAATAGCAGCAGTGGGTAGACCATCTGTCAGGATCTAGCCACCACCAGCCTCAGCGTGATATATATATATATATATATATATATATATATATATATATATATATATATATACGTCTCCTGCAACTGTCGAGCCGCAAACACTATATGGATGGTGCTGCGACCCAAACGGAATCCATATTGCTTTTCCGCCACGCTCCGTCCGACAACCTGCCTGCGTTTAGCAAGATTCGGGTGAACACCGTGTCCACACAACTCAGCATGTTGATACCACGATAATTCGTGCAAAATTGCTTGCTCCTTTTACCTTATACATTGGTAGCACAAGGGCATCCTACAGCTCAGAAGGCACCTCCTCCTCAATCCACGCGCGTTGCACCAAATGGTGCAGCGCAGTCACCTAAATATACGAAAAATTGCGGCTGGAGTCTATCACCCCATTATAGGCTTTTAAGTCTGGTCACCATCATCAATGCACATTAGCTGAGGTGGAGAAACGCATCACAGCTAGCCTGCCGCAATACGGGAAGTTTCGTATTACTACGAACCAAAAGCAACACTTATGATCCGATGCTAAGTATCATATTATGCATCGGTATGAGCTAGTGGTGGGAGTACGAGGGACAGTTTTGCTCACAGTACTAATGCCGTTGAGGTCAGCTTTTTATCATATCAACACTTACATCAAACTAGACCCTTTCAACCTTTTTTGGACCCCAGCCCAGTCAGTTTGACTGGCGTTCTAGTCAGGCTGCTTTAAAAGCTGGTGAAAGATTCCCTGGAGGGCATCTGAATAGATTTAATCTTTTCAGAAGTGCACTGCACGTTTTCCAGAGGTGATTTTTGTGCCTGGCGTATTTATTGGTAGCTCTTGATAGTTGGTTGTGATGAAGTTATCCAGCCGCTTACTAAGTATATGTTCTGAATTTCGACCCCCTCTGCCTATTGCGACTGTGCTGAAATCAGTCAATTCCCAGCCTTACTGGCGTTGTATGGAATTGGCTTCCTTAAAACGTAACAGTTTAACCACTTATTAAACCTCTTTTACTGTTATATGCTTGTACCACTGGTACGGACTTTTGGAGTTGTCGATACACGTTTGTGACGTGCTCTTTCACACACATTTCGATCCGGACCCACTGGGTCTTACTGTTCGTTGTATGGTAACGGAGTCGTGTATTTCTTCATTTTTAGCACATCGGATTTACTTTCCTCTTATTAGAACCACTCCACATTACACGACTCACGTACGCACTCGGAACCCTCGATCAGACGCCCACTATCCCCATAGTTCTGTTGCTCTGATTCGTACTTTGGCATGTTTCGCAACCAGTATGACCACGATGTAACTATTTGGAGCCCACAAGGTCGTATTCATCAGATAGAATATGCTATGGAAGCCGTGAAACAAGGCTCGGCTGCTGTGGCATTGAAAAATGTTGACCACTCTATAATCGTCGCATTGAAGCGTGCTCCTTCCGAACTATCCTCATACCAGGAGAAGATTATCACCATCGACGATCATGTTGGGGTTGCAATTGCCGGTCTAACCGCTGACGGCAGAATGTTGAGCCGCATGATGCGTCGGGAGTGTGCAGAAAACCGATGGTCCTACGATGAACCATTACCAATCACACGACTGATTAATATCATGTCGCTAAAAATGCAAATCCCCACGCAGCGCTATGGAAACCGACCGTACGGTGCAGGTATGCTGATCGCAGGATATGATTCACAAGGACCACACGTGTATTATTTAGTAAGTTCCCTTACATTTATTTACTGGTAACTGCCCATGAGTGTCTTCGTTCTGCTTGTATCCTCACATCCTCTTTCCTTTCTGATACCACTTTTGCCACTCCTGCTTTCGTTTTTCTCGCTTGTTCTGCTACACACACTTAGTTTATAACTTTTCATTACTTGATCTCTGAGTTGACATGTGGTTTATTCATTCCCTCATCGTTTAAGATGTTCCTGTTTGGCGGATTTAATCTGGAAGCTCTCAGTACCTGGTCTTTGTAATTCAAGTTCAAATGGGGACGGGAACAAAACTAGAATCCATACTGAACACGCCGTTAATCCATTAGAGTTTTGAGGGTATGATTTGCCGTTTACTGGAGTCAAATCATCATGCACAGATCGCATCGTGATAATCTAATTGAAACACGTGTTGTGCACTAACATTCCCCACTGTGCCGGTCCCATGCAATAAGAAATGAAAGAGTGAAGTTTGAAGCTGGACATCATTTTAACATAAGGACGCCATTCAAGGAATAAGTTGGTAACGAGTAAGTTAGGAAGGATGGAACATAAGGACAAGGTAAGACCCGGAGTTGCAGTTTGAGGGCATCCAAGCGATCTTTGGGCTCCACTAATGTTTGGGGCAACGCTTCATCCGATGGCGCGTTGCAGATCTATCACTACGTGACGAACGAGTGTCAGTCCGAGCCGGATCAGCCCGGAGTTTGCACGAAGCGCTAGCAGCTGAGTGCGATCAAACAGCCATAATTGATCTGGGCCTGTCCGTCCTGTTAAGATGCGATAATCAAAATCCCACGAATACGCCGATGCTTTAACGAGAACCTTCCCAATTGGAGCAACCCGTCAGGGTACGACAGTTGCCACAACTCACAAACACTTTAATTCCGGTCCCTAATCCCCCCTCTACCGCAATTGTGTAACGAATTAGGTGGGGAGGACAACTTTGGATGCAGTACTACATGTGCGATCTAACAAAGCTTGTAAGCAATCACCTAAACATTTTTCCGTCAGGGTGCCAAAGGACTTAACCAACCAGAGTCACCAGGGTCGCTGGTCGTGCACCAAATCTTCAAGTCATCCGCAAACATAAAGGTAGGAAGTAGTTTGAGTACTGATCCCTATGGGACATCATTCAGAATAGCTCGCCGAAAGTTCGGTTCAATTCAATTCGGTTGAACAGCTACGCTTCGGGCACGGGAGTGCAGCGGGTCTGGTTGCGACGACTCACGTTGCCAGTATAACGATAAATAACCGGTAAGAAAATGAGGTTGTACGTAAATATAGTGCAACAAAGTGCGCTAAACTAGTCGTGATGTAAAATTAATAGCTAAATACATGAGGCCGAATGCAGGAATGCCACTGACAGGGCGATTGCGTCATGTCTAATGGTCTCTAACCACTGGTGTGGACCATCTAGGAGCCCCTATCCACGAAGACTGACTCACCAGCTTGACCAATTTCTTCATGCCCTTATGCCAAGTGATCAACTGGCCTCCTCGCGGTTTCGCCCGGCTTAGTGCGGTGACGGCTCGTAATACACGCCGAGTAAGCCGGTTGACGAGAAATCGGAAGACACAACTCAGTCATCGTAAGCGGTTAAGTTTTAGCAACCACTCGGGCGAGGTACCATAAGACTTCTTGCCAAACTTCAACCGATGGACCTTAGCATTGCTTATTCGGTATTACTACCAGATTTGATCACTAGTCCGCAAGCACCAGTGATCAAACACGCCCAAGCGTTTATTCACTTCACTGCGAACTGGCCATGTCTCTGATCCATGCAGTCACATCGGCCTTATTTCAGCGCTATACATCCAACTTTTTATTTACGGGCTGTATCACAGATAAGGTCGAGCTGTTGGATCCTGTCTGAGAAGACGGCATGCATCAGCTTGTCCAGGTTTTTCGGTTGGTTTCTTCATCTCTCTTACACATTATCGACTGACCACCTAGGCATCTAACAACTCGGCTAATACTGCTCGCCCAGGTAGCCTATCAACCGGAGCACGGATGTCGCCATTCAATTGACCTAAACCAAGGGTCAACAATTATTTCACAGTGGTACAGCTAACTTAACAATGACTAGCGCGGGCCGGATAACTGACAAAACTATTAGCATGTGCATCATAATCATTATACATAATACTTGCAAACCATAATGAGAACCTTGAGATTTAAGATAGTAAACTCAACACTCGGTATCTGCCTTACATTTTTAGTTGCCTTTGGGAAGGCTGAGATAAGGGGGGATCTAAACAAGAAACAGAAGTTGAGCTACAGACATCCTAGTGGAACACCGGGAAACTGATGACCAGGAGTCATGGGTGGAGCATCTGCCTCGTACACACAAACTTCATTGGCACCTCTGTAATACAATATATAGCATACAAATGTTTATATATATATATATATATATATATATGCGGGGGCTGATGTTGCATTCATGATGCTTCTTCACCGCAATTGGGCTGATCCAACTTACACTTAAACTAGGTCTTTTTAAGCTGGATACATTTCATTCCACTTTATTTGGTTTCTTCTGCCTACCTGACTAATCTACTATTAACTGGTCATTTTGCTTACGCTAATTGTGGTTATCTTCGCTAACTCTATTGTGTTTGTAGGAGTTTTTGAGTAACTTGTGGACATTTTTTCCTTATCGCGGATTCGTTGCTAACCAACTTACTTCATATGCTAATTTAGGAAAGAGTTCTGTCTGCATAGCGGTATTCTTTAACAGATATATTTTGTTTGATAATGTCATTTAAAATGATTGGCTGTTGTTTGACATCCCCGGTGTGACCGCTCGGTATGCATGTTGACAAAGTGCCTACCTGTCTATTACCCACTACCTCGTCCATACTGGCTCTGCTGGAAGGGACGGGGTGGACGGTCCTTGTGGCCGTGCTAGGCTCGCGGAGTGGTTCCATGCACTCAGTGTGGACCGGACTACGGTCCAGCCACCGCCTTGTGTGCGATTAATTCCCCAAATACAGCGTGCTTGTGTTTGCCTGTGAAGGAGTGTGGGCCGGCTCCGTTGATGAAACGTGGCTCCCATCCAGATGCCTCCCGGTCTTATCTCTTTGGGTTTACATTGGATTTGGGGTGTGTGGTTGGAGCTGTGGGTGGTGCAGCGCAAGCCATCCATGGTCCCTCTGTAGGCGCAGGCGTCCTGTGGCTTGCCACAGTGACAGGGGAATTGGAATCCGGATGCCGCCAACCATATATATATATATATATATATATATTGCCGCGAATCCGCATTGGTGCTGAAGTGTTGGAAACCACCTCCCGCTTCAGCTACCTTGGGAGTGTGATGTCGACTGACCAGCAGCTACACGTTGAGTTGCGTATTCGCGTGTCGAAGGCAGCAGCGGCATTCGGGAAGCTTGAGTACCGAGTGTGCAACAACCATCAGCTTAGCATTGGCACAAAGCTAATGGTGTACAAATCCATGGTGTTGTCCGTTCTTCTATACGGCAGTGAAACGTGGACGATGTACTGGCGGGATGTGCGATGATATCTCGAGCGGTTCCAACAGCAGTGTCTGCGACGAATTTTGCGGATCGGTTGAGGCGCCAGAGTTGCGGACACGGAAATGTTGCGCCGAAGTGGGATGTATGCGGTGGACTGCATACTTTTACTAAGACATCTGAGATGTGTGGATTCGACTCGGATACCGAAACAACTTATACGGTCAGCTGAGTATTGGGAAGCGGCACGTGGGGAAACCAAAGTTACGTTACCAGGACGTGATCAAACTGAGCCTCACACGTTCTAATCTTGATTGCAGGTCATGGGAATCGGAAGCGGTTGATCGGCGCGTATGGCGCGATCTAATCACGAAGGCAGTAGCCGAGGTGCGGGAGAATGACCTCATACTTGCAGAGAAGAAGCGGCAAGCACCGATGGGTTTTACTCCATCGACATCGAGTGCATGGTGCTGTAGCACATGTGGTCGTGAGTGCTTGAGTCAGGAAGGCCTAGTGAGCCATGAGCGAGGCCACTCGGGACCACTACCGAAGAGCCGACGGGTTCTGCAGAGAACGTAGGTAGAACCGGCGCAGCATTTGTAAGTACGCTGCATTCGATTTACTAACCGCGTGCTTGCATGCTAAGTCTATTTATTTCAGGTGGTGGGTTTTCAATTTTGCTCTAATGCTTTTCTTTCCCATATAAATGCCTAGTTATACTCTCTTCTATACACTTGCACACGTCGCTTAAGCCACTTGTAGCTATTTCGATAACATTTTCGTGTTTGTAGCATTTCCGTAAAATAAACCTCCTGATCTCGTGAACTTTCCTCGTGTTCTTTCGTAAACGTATTCCTTTGTAAATAATTTATTTCATATGCTCACTAATTTAAGATTTATGTCACCGTTTGCTTGCGTGCTGTCTCTTTATTTCAGGTGGTGGGTTTTCAATTTTGTCCCAATGCTTTGCTTTCTCACAGAAATGTCTACATGTACTCTCTTCTATAAGCCTGCACACGTCACTTAAGCCAATTCTAGTCCTTTTCGAAAACATTTTTGTGTTCGTGGCATTTCCGTAAAGTATACTTTCTGACCTCGTGAAGTTATCTCGCATTCTTCTGTAAACAATTTACTTCAGATGCTCATTACTTTAAGATATATGTCACCCTTTACTTAGGCATTACTCAATTTATTTTCCTTGTTATCTTTCTATCAAGTGATTGGCTGTTGCTTGATATCCCAGGTGTGGCTGCGCTTGATGTGCATGTTGACAAGGTGCCTATTTGCCTATAACCCACAACCTCGTCCATACTGGCTCCAGAAGACAGTTGGTCGTTGCTGGAGGGGACAGGGTGCACGGTTCGTGTGGCCGTGTTAGGATCAAAGAGTGGTTCCATGCACTCAGTGTGGAGCGGACTACGGTCCAGCCAACGCCTTGTGTGCACTTGGTTCCCCAAATACAGTGTGCTTGTATTTGTCTGTGAATGAGTGTTGGCCGGTTCCGTTGATGAGGCGTGGCTCCCAT